ACTATGATTTACAAAGGTAATCTCCCTTGTACTAGTGTAAATATTGGATATTGATTACTATGATTTACAAAGGTAATCTCCCTTGTACTAGTGTAAATGCTGGATATTGATTACTATGATTTACAAAGGTTGTCTCACTTGTACTAGTGTAAATGCTGGATATTGATTACTATGATTTACAAAGGTTGTCTCCCTTGTTCTAGTGTAAATGCTGGATATTGATTACTATGATTTACAAAGGTTACAAAGGTAAATGCTGGATATTGATTACTCCCTTGTACTAGTGTGAATATTAGATATTGATTACTATGATTTACAAAGGAAGTCTCACTTGTACTAGTGTAAATGCTGGATATTGATTACTAAGATTTACAAAGGTAGTCTCCCTTGTACTAGTGTAAATGCTGGATATTGATTACTATTATTTACAAAGGTAATCTCCCTTGTACTAGTGTAAATGCTGGATATTGATTACTATGATTTACAAAGGTAATCTCCCTTGTACTAGTGTAAATGCTGGATATTGATTACTATGATTTACAAAGGTTGTCTCCCTTGTACAGTGTAAATGCAATTGATTACTATGATTTACAAAGGTAATCTCCCTTGTACTAGTGTAAATGCTGGATATTGATTACTAGTGTAAATGCTGGATATTGATTACTATGATTTACAAAGGTAATCTCCCTTGTACTAGTGTAAATGCTGGATATTGATTACTATCCCTTGTATTTACAATAGGTTTAAAAGGTTGTCTCCCTTGTACTAGTGTAAATGCTGGATATTGATTACTATGATTTACAAAGGTTGTCTCCCTTGTACTAGTGTAAATGCTGGATATTGATTACTATGATTTACAAAGGTAATCTCCCTTGTACTAGTGTAAATGCTGGATATTGATTACTATGATTTACAAAGGTAATCTCCCTTGTACTAGTGTAAATGCTGGATATTGATTACTCTGATTTACAAAGGTAATCTCCCTTGTACTAGTGTAAATGCTGGATATTGATTACTATGATTTACAAAGGTAATCTGTAAATGCTGGATATTGATTACTATGTTTACAAAGGTAGTGTAAATGCTGGATTATTGATTACTGGATATTGACAATTTACAAAGGTAATCTCCCTTGTACTAGTGTAAATGCTGGATATTGATTACTATGATTTACAAAGGATATTGATTACTGGATATTGATTACTATGACAAAGGTAATCTCCCTTGTACTAGTGTAAATGCTGGATATTGATTACTATGATTTACAAAGGTATTGATCTCCCTTGTACTAGTGTAAATGCTGGATATTGATTACTATGATTTACAAAGGTAATCTCCCTTGTACTAGTGTAAATGCTGGATATTGATTACTATGATTTACAAAGGTTGTCTCCCTTGTACTAGTGTAAATGCTGGATATTGATTACTATGATTTACAAAGGTTGTCTCCCTTGTACTAGTGTAAATGCTGGATATTGATTACTATGATTTACAAAGGTTGTCTCCCTTGTACTAGTGTAAATGCTGGATATTGATTACTATGATTTACAAAGGTAATCTCCCTTGTACTAGTGTAAATGCTGGATTTGATTACTATTGTATTTACAAAGGTAATCTCCCTTGTACTAGTGTAAATGCTGGATATTGATTACTATGATTAACAAAGGTAATCTCCCTTGTACTAGTGTAAATGCTGGATATTGATTACTATGATTAACAAAGGTAATCTCCCTTGTACTAGTGTAAATGCTGGATATTGATTACTATGATTTACAAAGGCTGTCTCCCTTGTTCTAGTGTAAATGCTGGATATTGATTACTATGATTTACAAAGTTATCTCACTTGTACTAGTGTAAATGCTGGATATTGATTACTATGATTTACAAAGGTAGTCTCCCTTGTACTAGTGTAAATGCTGGATATTGATTACTATGATTAACAAAGGTTGTCTCCCTTGTACTAGTGTAAATGCTGGATATTGATTACTATGATTAACAAAGGTTGTCTCCCTTGTACTAGTGTAAATGCTGGATATTAATTACTCTGATTTACAAAGGTAATCTCCCTTGTACTAGTGTAAATGCTGGATATTAATTACTCTGATTTACAAAGGTAATCTCCCTTGTACTAGTGTAAATGCTGGATATTAATTACTAATTTACAAAGGTAATCTCCCTTGTACTAGTGTAAATGCTGGATATTGATTACTGGATATTGATTACTGATTTACAAAGGTAATCTCCCTTGTACTAGTGTAAATGCTGGATATTGATTACTATGATTTACAAAGGTTGTCTCCCTTGTACTAGTGTAAATGCTGGATTGATTACTATGATTTACAAAGGTAATCTCCCTTGTACTAGTGTAAATGCTGGATATTGATTACTATGATTTACAAAGGTAATCTCCCTTGTACTAGTGTAAATGCTGGATATTGATTACTATGATTTACAAAGGTAATCTCCCTTGTACTAGTGTAAATGCTGGATATTGATTACTATTATTTACAAAGGTAATCTCCCTTGTACTAGTGTAAATGCTGGATATTGATTACTATGATTTACAAAGGTTGTCTCCCTTGTACTAGTGTAAATGCTGGATATTGATTACTATGATTTACAAAGGTTGTCTCCCTTGTACTAGTGTAAATGCTGGATATTGATTACTATTATTTACAAAGGTAATCTCCCTTGTACTAGTGTAAATGCTGGATATTGATTACTATTATTTACAAAGGTAATCTCCCTTGTACTAGTGTAAATGCTGGATATTGATTACTATGATTTACAAAGGTTGTCTCCCTTGTACTAGTGTAAATGCTGGATATTGATTACTATGATTTACAAAGGTTGTCTCCCTTGTACTAGTGTAAATGCTGGATATTGATTACTATGATTTACAAAGGTAATCTCCCTTGTACTAGTGTAAATGCTGGATATTGATTACTATGATTTACAAAGGTTGTCTCCCTTGTACTAGTGTAAATGCTGGATATTGATTACTATGATTTACAAAGGTTGTCTCCCTTGTACTAGTGTAAATGCTGGATATTGATTACTATTATTTACAAAGGTAATCTCCCTTGTACTAGTGTAAATGCTGGATATTGATTACTATTATTTACAAAGGTAATCTCCCTTGTACTAGTGTAAATGCTGGATATTGATTACTATTATTTACAAAGGTAATCTCCCTTGTACTAGTGTAAATGCTGGATATTGATTACTATTGTATTGTAAAAGGGATATTGATTACTCTCCTTGTACTAGTGTAAATGCTGGATATTAATTACCCTGATTTACAAAGGTAATCTCCCTTGTACTAGTGTAAATGCTGGATATTAATTACTCTGATTTACAAAGGTAATCTCCCTTGTACTAGTGTAAATGCTGGATATTGATTACTATTATTTACAAAGGTAATCTCCCTTGTACTAGTGTAAATGCTGGATATTGATTACTATGATTTACAAAGGTTGTCTCCCTTGTACTAGTGTAAATGCTGGATATTGATTACTCTGATTTACAAAGGTAATCTCCCTTGTACTAGTGTAAATGCTGGATATTGATTACTATGATTTACAAAGGTTGTCTCCCTTGTACTAGTGTAAATGCTGGATATTGATTACTATGATTAACAAAGGTTGTCTCCCTTGTACTAGTGTAAATGCTGGATATTGATTACTATTATTTACAAAGGTTGTCTCCCTTGTACTAGTGTAAATGCTGGATATTGATTACTATGATTAACAAAGGTTGTCTCCCTTGTACTAGTGTAAATGCTGGATATTGATTACTATTATTTACAAAGGTAATCTCCCTTGTACTAGTGTAAATGCTGGATATTGATTACCATGATTACCATGTATTATTGTATATTCTTGATATTAATTACTATGATTTTCCAAAGTTATCTCCCTTGTGCGAGTGTATGTACTAAATGGTACAATATATTGGTGATGCTGTAAACTTGAATTTAATTGCTTTTCTCTTCTTTTTCTTCGATAGAAATTAAGTAAAACAAGCAAAGAGGAAGACGTCATGCTGTTAATTCAATATGATTGATACATTTCTTCAGAAATAAATCTATAGACTTGGTGAATTTCTTGTAGTTATCATAGACAAGTTGCATCAATCTGATGGATGGTGATAGGTGCTATGTTGTAATGACTAACTAAACAATGTTTGTCAACAACAACAACTATCTCATTTTATAACTTATAACATATTTTATATACCAACATTTTGGAAAAAGTGATTTAAATTGACGAAGCCATCTCCTATTCGAACAATTTAACAACAGATATTGATAGTGGTCTTAAATGTAAAACGCGTGTCAAAATTAGAGTTAGACCTAAGGCCAAAAACAAGTTAAAGTCTTCCGCTAAATCTAATAAAAGTTTGTTATTAAAATGTATATTAAAATTATTTAAATGGGAAAACAGGTTTATGCTGCTTTACGTTTGATATTATATTCATTAAGTTATTCAAATTTAAACAAGAGATCCAAGAGGGATCTTGGCGCCCACCATTTGTTTGATCTTTATATGCTCTTTTTTCCCCTTCTTTTCTCTTTTCTTCTCGGCTTTTGTTATAAATGATAAGAAATTTGAACATTATTCCATTGCAGATATAGCGATGATTATGTTAACTACCACACCAAGATGGTCGCCTGAAAGCCATTTAGTTTTTTCTGATCAGTCCCGAAATCAAACATGAAATAGCGATAAAAATGTTTAAAGTCAAAATCCAAAATCTAATAATGGTGGGTTAAAAATGGCATCGACGAAGTGGAAAGCGCATTCGCCTTTCAATAAAATCTAAGGTTTTTTTCTTCTGATCGCGAAGGAACTGTTTGTGTGCTTCTTCTGTTTCATCCACAATCGTTCTTTTATTTGGTAAAAACAATATTCAATTACGGACGATAAAACATACCCTACATAAAACATGTTTACTAAAGCAAGAGAGTCCTCTTCAGGGATTTCAGATCAAAAACTTACCCGTCTCCCTACTAAAACAGCACCCTTTTTGATAAGACGGTCGGCCTCTGCGTCCAAGTGAAGTACCACTGCGCTTCGCTTGATGTCCCGGTTTGATAAATCGATTTGACGGATATAGTCAGAGAGACTCCGATATATTCCCTTCCCTTCGTAACCCTCGTGGACACGAGCGGCGCGAACCAGCGATGTGGCCCCGTCATCAATTGTAGTTACAAAAGCAAATCCGACCTGAAAACACCAACAAAAACATGACGGTGTTAAGATATGTTCGATTTTCGTTAGACGTGCGTTGGTTGGGACCTTGGACAAGTCATGTCATCCTAATTGCACTGGATGGCAATTGACGTGCCTCCCATAAGTCGTTCAGTGAGGTAGCCACCACCTCACAAAAAAGACTCTATTAGAAGGCGGAATTCCTTACAAGCATCAATCAGAGAATGCCTGGTTGTTTACTTGTTTTATGTTTGATACTCACGTGAGACCGTAATATAATCTTGATTTATTTAGAAAAAGAAGACAATTACCTAGCTGGGACATTTATATACATAATTTTTTAAAAGGTATTCACATGTTTACATTTCTCACTCGTTTCATCACTTTTTCGTATAAATTGTGATTTTACTGGCAGGTCGGTTCGATCTAAATTCTTCCGGTAATATTTAATTTGAGCACATAATTAAAATATACTTTTTGAAAGTTACTCGTTATCCCGTTACCCCGGGCAACAAGTATTATGTGGCGTTTTGTTACACTGTTACATAATCTATATCCTTGTATTATTTATGTAAGGACAGTGGTCTGTGAATGGTAATTTGCATGTATGCCTGTAATTGCATTACATCAGGAGACAAAAACTTGACTATTTGTCACAGATAAAACTGCTTGTTACTGGAATATTAGCTTATTTTGAATTAAACACACACACACACACAAACCGCACACTTCGGATAGACGGAAAGTTAAATATCAGTCACCGTAGATCATCTACCGACTGACGAATCAGCTTATCGCGACTATGTATTTTTTACTGTTTCAAAGAAATAAACGTTCAATTCATGAATTTTGCATCCATCGGACTGCAAGATGAAGCGATTGAATAAGAGGTCAGGTAAGGTAACATTTCTGCATCGCTCCTAAATGACCTTTGTTTGACTTTTGATATAGCGCACTGACCCCATCGATGCGTTGAAATCAGTTAACGTAAAATATTAGTTGAAACTGATTTGTCAGAATTTTCTCTTGACTAGCGAAACTGTGTCGAAGTGTTTGAAATGGCCATGCAGTATTCAGTCACACAGTCACAGGTACCCCCCACCCCCATCCCCACCCCCACACCAAAAAAAAAACAAAACAAAACAAAACAAAAAATCATATAGAAACGATACGGAAACTTGATTTCCTGTCCTCGTTTTCAAAGTCTTCAGCATTCAGTCCCCTGTGCTCACACCTAATCAACCTCGAGGCGGGAATTGTACACGATAACTACGACCAGAAATTAATTTAGAGAACATATTGGTGAATGTTGGTAGAAAGATATGAAAAATGTCTTTGACATATTTATTCGTTATGGTGCGATCGCACTCACCATTTTGTCGCCATCCATTGCAACATAACCTTCGTGTGTTTCCAGCATGGAATGAAACCTGTCCGCCAAATAGTCCAAGCCGTAATATATCCCTCGTCTAATAGCAACAACTTCCTTATAGTCATTGGAAGTGACTTGGCGGAAGTGGAGACAACTCATGATGAGTACAAGTGATACCAACTTCACTGTTCCTTTAGAATACTCTGAAATGCAAAGGATGTCGACACTTATATAAAACGACCTTGACATTGTGTAAGCACATATGTACAATGTTACATCACGCACCCAAATTTGGACAGAAGCCCAATTGGGACATTTACAAATTTTCATGCCAGCAAAGTTTGGAAATGCAGCTACGAAATATCATTTTGATCTGGTGCTTATCAAAAATCTTAAGACATTGACAACTTATTCCGGACTACGAGAGGTCATCTCGATCACGTGCTTATCAAAGATCTTAAACTCAAAATCTTATGAACTTTTCTTCCTCAATAGACATTTGTTTTGATGACTATTACTATTACTGTTTTTTAAATACGAGATGTGTTGGAAATAATTCTAATAGAGTAGCCTAAATCTGTTAAATTGGAAATCGTGTATGAAAGTTGGGGGTGGGGGAATCCAAAATACATAGAGTATGCATCACAGTATCGAATCTACTTGTACAGAAAGATACAACAGTTTTAAGAAGCCAAAATAAACAGTATATTGTTAATACTCATTCATGGAAATGAGTGTGACATATGCTTAATGCGAGTATGGACGATCTTGTCAATATCTATTGTCTTTTCTTTGTTTCTGATTCCTCCAAATGCAAAGCAAATCTTTCCTCAGATCAATCTAGATATGAATCTTTCAAAATATACGCACTACAGTCCCATATTAAACACGTTCTTCGTCTGACGGAACACGTGATGTGCTTGATCTATCTGTATAGTGCACGCTCATTGTGGTTATGACTCTCCTATTCACCCCGTCCTGTACAAAACAGTACAACATATGCCTAGCTAATGAGTAACGATAACATAAAAAAACGTGTACGGATAATTGTCCCAGCACAATTCGACTTCTTTAATTTAACATTGCGTAATACATTATAGATGAAATTATTCTATTAAATATAGCTGGGGTAAACGAACTATATTCATTAATAGACGATGTCGGTATTTTATGTATTTCCGAACCTCAATAATTCCATACCTAACATTGAAATTAAAATTGATGGCTTCTTTGAACCGTTTCGCAAAGACAGAAATATGTTTGGTGGTGGTGTTACTTTGTATGTCTCTGAATCAGTAGCTGTAAAGCAGAGGTCAGATACAAAATTCGGAAATTTTGAAATGATACGGTCACAGGTTAATTACCAAAATATTCTTTATATAATTTGTAATTTCTCTATCTTATTATCCAATAGGATAAACAACACAAAATACGAAAATGTATTTCACGGCGACAGAGGCATTGCAACTGATTTATTAAACAAACGTGTAAATCATACACAAATCTGTTACAAATACACAATATACAATGTATGTATATATATATATGTCACTCCTTTCCATTAATAACTATTACATTTTACCGCAATAGCAACCCCCCCCAAAAGAAATTAATAATGACAAATAAAAAATTCCACGTCCGTGTGTCCCTACCTGTGCCGCCTGAATGACACGTACAGGTAACACGCTACAGTACGACCCTGGTCTCAATTTGCACGTGCAAATCATACACATAGCGCCCCCTATTGGCGACTCATACCACAGAGAAAATAATTTCACCCTAATTCCAACCCGTCAAACGGTTGAACTTATATCTATATAGACCCTTTCTTATTGCACCGTCTTATGGCACCGTCTTATGGCACAGTCTTATGGCCGCATCTGCGACATTCAGTAAATACTGCACTAGAATAAACATCAAATTTAATAATCACAGTCATTTCTTTTCACAAACTTCATTCTAGTAACATATCAACCAAATATCATGCCTCCAGGCCTTTTATTTCATGAGGAGAAGTCGTTCAAATATTTCAAAGATTTTGACCCTTGTGACCTTGAGTATAGGTCAATGTCATTTTTTCCCTAAACTTCGTCGGGCTTCATCCCAGGAACATACCACTTAAATATCATGCCTCTAGGTCTTTTAGTTCATGGGAAGAAGTCGTTTAAAGGTTAAACAAATCTGACCCATGTGACCTAGAACAAGGGTCAAGGTAATTTCTTTTGTCGGGCTTCATTCTAGAAACCTGTCAGTAAAATACTATGCTTTTGCATCGATTGTTTAGAAAAAGTCACTTAAAGGTTTTAACAAATTTAACCCCTATGACATTGAACATGCATCAAGGTTAGTTCTTTTCAAGAACTTTGTCAGGTTTCACTCTAGGAACATACTAGTATTGAAATAGCATGCCTTAGTCCTTTCATTTCAAGAGAAGAAGTCGTTTATATGTTGAAGCAAATTTGACCCTATGCTCTTGAACATAGTTCAACTTAATTTCTTTTCCTAAACGTCGTCGAGCTTTATCCTAGGAACACAACAGCCCGATATCTCTCGGGTTTTTAGTTCATGAGAAGATGTCGTTTAAAGTTTTTAACAAAATTGACCCCTGTTACCTTGAATATAAGTCACGGTCACTTTATCAACGGAACACACCAGTCCAATATCATACCTCTAAGTAACTTGTCCCTGTGATCTTGAATATTAGTCAAGGTAATTTCTTTTTGCAAACTTTGCCTTTTGGCTGCCCAAGCGTCAGATTATAAGCAATAACAAAAAATGAAAACGTAATCAGAACTAACTTCAAGATTAAAATATTGTATCTAAGTATACAGCCTTTTACCTCCATCGATGTTATTTATAAATATACTGTTGGTCATCGTCATCATAAGACTTCAACTCAAACTCAATATTCGTTTCTTGAACCAATATATTAAGTGCCTGCAATATATCTCGACAGAATAAAAATCAGCATAAGTGTCAACAACATGTCTCGTTAGAATGACACTTAGATGATGTATCAGTGACATGTCTCGTGAGAATGACACTTAGATGATGTATCAATGACATGTCTTGTTAGAATGATACATGAAGTGTCCGTGACATGTCTCGTGAGAATGACACTTAGATGATGTATCAGTGACGTGTCTCTTGAGAATGACACTTAGATGAAGTATCAATGACATGTCTCGTTAGAATGATACTGAGATGATGTATCAGTGACATGTCTCGTGAGAATGACACTTAGATGATGTATCAATGACATGTCTTGTTAGAATGATACATGAAGTGTCAGTGACATGTCTCGTTAGAATGACACTTAGATGATGTATCAGTGACGTGTCTCTTGAGAATGACACTTAGATGATGTATCAGTGATATGTCTCGTTATGATGACGCTTAGATGATGCATCAGTGACATGTCTCGTGAGAATGACACTTAGATGATGTATCAATGACATGTCTCGTTAGAATGATACTGAGATGAACTGTCAGTGACATGTCTCATGAGTATGACACTTAGATGAAGTATCAGTGACAGTGCTCGTGAGAATGATACTGAGTTTATGTATCAGTGACATGTCTCGTGAGAATGACACTTAGATTATGTGTCAGTGACATGTCTCGTGACAATGACACTCAGATACACTATAAATGGAGAAAGTTTCACGATATTTTGTCAAAATCGCTTTCAGTAATAAATGTTCATGCATTTCCTCGTTATAATGACATGGATAATAAAATTACTTAATGAAACTCTTTGAGACAGTCTCACCAACTGACCATGCAGAATTATCGCAAATTTTTTTCTCGTTATATTGATATATCTGTGTTTTACAAAACCTTCATTTGCGTCATGACTAATATAGTTCACGGAGACTGTTATCGATATAAGAAATAGTTTGTCCCGTGTGTTGAATGAAACATAAAAACCAGAAGTTCTTATCAGTTTGGGAAGATTTGTTTTTTTTCTTTAAAGCGTGTGTTGCTTATCACAACACGATGATAGTACTGTATGTATAGTATGTAGCTCAACCGATCATAGAGAACCCGAACCGAGCGGTATATTGTGGCTACATTGTATTTGGGTTACAATGATATGTGACAAATTACAATGATGCAGAGATACAATTGATATTCCAATAAGAGCGTATAGATAACTATGTAAGTCCAGTGATGATCACACTCAGTAGTCAGTGCTGTTGTCCCTGTTAGCTCTCCAAAACAAAAATTGACAAAAAGATAGGTATCTGACAGAGATAAATGACACAAAAGAGGCGTTACCATAGGTACATTAAACTAAAAACTATAGGGAACCATTTCTGGTATAACACAAAGCCTCAACTATTAGCAGAAGATGACACAATTGTCTCTGGGAAAATATTTTGATAGATCCAAAACCATTGACAAGTTCGTGTGTCACTCTTAAAACATACGTTTGTGACAATAGTGGAAGGATTTGTTACACATCGGAACAATTCTAACAGTTGTAGAAGTGGATACATGTACATAAACGGCCAAGAAAAGAGAGGGAAAAATATAGATAAATGTATTCAAAGGATGTTTACTTACTTAAATTCGCACAAATTCACTCTAAACACAGTCCAACATTTATCACAGTCTGCTCGCCGACACAGATCACCTCGTACTAGTCACATTCCTTACCACGTTCAAGCGTGGAGACTAGAAGATACAACTGATGACCCGTGACTATCTACCTGATACAGTACGGAAAGTATTGGAGTGGTGAATCAGGATCTGTATTTTAATCAGATTGCATGACTACTGACCAAGCATTCATTACGTCAACGTGTACATGGTATAAAAAAAAAAAATAAAAGATTACAAGTATTTTTGAATGACGTAATGACGTCAACTTTACACACTATTTCTTTACCATGCTAAACTCTCATCAGTGTGATACACATAGTTTTAGTGCTGTACAGCTTTGTGTGATACACATAGTTTTAGAGGTGTACAGCTTTGTGTGATACACATAGTTTTAGTGCTGTACAGCTTTGTGTGATACACATAGTTTTAGTGCTGTACAGCTTTGTGTGATACACATAGTTTTAGTGCTGTACAGCTTTGTGTGATACACATAGTTTTAGTGCTGTACAGCTTTGTGTGATACACATAGTTTTAGTGCTGTACAGCTTTGT